ACCGCTGCAAGAACGGGATCTCGTCTGGGGCTTGGGCAGAGGAGTTCACTTTCCTTTGGCAGCGGAGCAGGGATACGGATGTGGGGCGGATCCGTTTCAAAAACGAGCTCTCTTTGGACACCTCGTCGAACGTCGGCTCCCGCCTGATACTTCCCGACAATATATTCCCAAATCGCGCTCTCGCGCGGGACTTTCTCACGATTCATATACGAGTCGTGCTCTCGCGTGGGACTTCTTTCGATGTGCTCAAACGCCGCACCCTCGACACTCCGGAATCACACTCTCGCTGTGGATTTCCTCACGATTCACTTGGGAAGTCTGTTATCGCTCAAGATTTCCTCGCGGTTCATGCACGGCGCACGCTTCAGAAACCCGCCTGATCCTAGGCCTTTCCTTCCATCCGTCGTGTTGCTCATCTTGCTGTTGTTGTTGCCGCTGTTGTTGTTGTTCTTCGTATTTGTATTGTCATTATTGGTACAACTACTACTGATGGTTTCATTAATATCACTAGTATTGCTATCATTGGAAGTCTTAATATTATTCGTATCATGAATATAGCTGTTGGTCCCGTTATTGATTTCTCACGACTGAAACATAATTATAGTTGGTCCCCCCTCCGGTGACCATTGAATTGTTTGTTAAATTGAAGTGCTTCCCCCTAGGCTCTCACCCAGTTCTTCATCAGGGAAAATCACTCGGCTCAAACTGCGCCCGTGGACCCCGGATTGCAACAACAACGGCCCCCAATTAAAAATCCTCACAATGTAGCCAAGACCCCCGTTACCACCTGACACTTCTTCGCAGTTTACTCAGGAATCGCGCCCTCGTTCGAGGCGCCCTTGCAATTTTTTCAGGAATCGCTCTCTCGGCGTTCTGGAATCGCGCTCTCGCTGGGGACTCGCTCGCAATGTATGCAAGGATCGCGTTCCTGCGTTGGAATTCCCCGCAGTTTACTCAAGCGCCGCGCTCTCGACACTCAAGCACCCAAGAGTCGCGTTCACGCTCTGGACTTCCTCAGAGCTCACTTAGGAATCGGGATATCGCTGCCCTTCGTGGCCCCGTTGCAGCCCGTCGTGGCCCGTTCGCTACCCTTTGTGGCCCCATCGCTGCCCTTCGTGGCACCCTTGTTGCCCTTCGTGGCCCCGTTGCAGCCCTCCGTGGTCCCCTCGCTGCCTGCGTGGCCCCGTCGCAGCCCTTCGTGGCCCGCTCGCTGCCCTTCGTGGCCCCATCGCAGCCCTTCGTTGTCCCTTCGCTGCCCTTCGTGGCCCCCTCGCTGCCCTTCGTGGCCCTTCGCTGCCCCTCGTGGCCCCGTCGCAGCCCCTCGCGGCCCCCTCGCTGCCGTTCGTGGCCCCGTTGCAGCCACTCGTAGCCCCCTCGGTGCTTTCCGTGGCCCCGTTGCACCTCTTCATGGCCCCCTCGATTTCCTTCGTGGCCTCACATACGCATGTCCTTCGTGGCCCCGGCTCTTTCGAGCCCGTCGTGGCCCCATTTGCATGCGTGCCGTGGCCGCCGTCGCCTTTCGCGGCCCTCTCGCTGCCATTCTTGGCCCCGTTGCTGCCTTCAGTTGCCCCGTCCTTGCCCTCACTAGCCCAAAATACGCATGCCCTTCGCGGCCCCTGTTTGTTCGCACCTGTCGTGACCCCATACGCCTGCCGTTCGTGGCTCCGCTGTCGCCCGCCCCGTTGCCACCCTCAGTGGTCCCGTCGGTGCCCCCTGTGGCCCCGCAGTCTCTGCCCCTCGTGTCCCCCGCACGTTCGCGCCGTTCGCGGCCCCCTTGCTGCCCTTCGTGGTCCCGCCGTCGCCATTCGTGGCCCCCTTGCTGCCTTTCGTGGCCCCGCTGTCGCTCTCCTGCTCGCTTTCGCTCTCGCGTTCGTTCGTCGTCGTCGTCGCCGTCGTCGCCCTCGTCGTCGTAGTCGTGGTCGTGGTCGGTCCCGTGTCCGTCCCTCGTGGGGTCGGGTTGCCGCCGGTCTTCGCTGCCGCTGGCCAGGCCGACGGTCCGCGGCCGCCCCGCCGCTTGCTGGGGCCCAGCCTGCAGGGAAGAACGATCCCCCCTTAAGCAGGGCACAATCGAAGACGATGATGGTGGATATCGAAGGCTCGGGAAATACACGCTGAATGACTCTCGAACAGAAAAAAGCGAACAGTCTGTACAGTATTGTTCTTGTTGTTGTTGATGTTGTTGTTGTTGTTGTTGTTTGTTGTCGTCCTCCCGCGACCCACCTGCGACCCGCCCGCGACTCACCCGAGACCCCACCCGCGACCCACCCCGTGACACACTTGCGACTCGCCCGCGATCCACCTGCGACCCACCTGCGATCCACCCGCGACCCACCCGCGAGCCACCCGCGGGTCACCGGCGACCCACCCGCAACCCACTCGCTTGCTTTGACAAAAAATTCGGCGCCTCCGCCGGGCTCGTTGAATCATGTGACTTGAAATCGGCACCTGCGGCGAGCTTCGTACGAATTTCGCAGGCTGCTGCCGACCACTTACCCGCCAC